GGCGTGCACATGCAGCAATGTTGGGACAAGCGCCGACGTCGTTCCTCTCATCGTCGGAAGCGGCAATTACACCCTACTTGGAAGCAAAGGACTCGCTCGGCCGCTCTTTTTTTCCTTGATTGTCATTGCTTCAGAAAGAAATCAAGGCAGATCGAAGATATGATTGGTGACAAATCGCTGATAAATATTTTTTGAAAATATCGCGTGATGAAAAAGAATCTTATTAATATGAACCGTTCAACGAGATGTCACTATATCCTTGTTTTATATAGATTTTAAAAATTTTACTTATTTATGATGTATGCCATAAATTTTTATGATACAAACACGTGCACACATTATGATAAAATAGTTTTAGATATATTTTTGAGGGGTTCTACTATTGTTCACAAATTAAATTTTCTAAGTGACTAATGAGTCCAGAAACTTTCTTGTTTATGATAAAATAATATTAATAACAAAATAATATTAATTCTGTTACTACAAATTTTAAATTTACTGCTTGGATTACTTAAACTTAGTCTTTTCGTATTTGATTTTGTCTTTATTTTGTTATTTTTAATTCTGCAATTAGATGCAATAATTACGTGCATTTCTAATTGTAGCTTTGAAAATTATTGTGAGAAAATTTGTTCATGATATAGGATTTCTTCTGCATGAGGAAAAATGACGAAAGGAACGAAACAAAAGAACAAGAATTAGCGAGAGTTTCATGAGCAGTCTTTGATGATTGAAAAAAATATTCTGCAGGTGGGCAATGACGCTTCGGCATCAGCCTTCTTTCTATCCGCGGCGGCCAATAGCAGAATAACATTGGTCGGCGGCGCTTTTGCCACGATGTAGATTTGTTTGCATTTAAAAATCAAATTGACCACCCTCCCTTCACCTCGCCCGTGCTCTTTCTCAGTAGGATGTGGTGTCCGACGTTGGTATGCGTTAGCTCTACTGTGATGAAACACAGAAATATTCTTCGTTTCTCTCTGCTACTCTCTTTGCCGAACAATCTTTCTTTCTTCCTCTCATTCTCTTCTTCCCTTTCTCCTCTCTCTTTCTCTTTCTCTTCGTGCTCTCAGTTGGGGACAATGCACGCCAGTTTTTGTGTCGTTTGCTTCTACGGAGACGGACGATGGATCTGCCGGCAGCTCCACTGCTTCCCCCTGTTTTCCTCCAGCCGCCCGCCCGCGGTTCTTCTCCTTCTTCTTCTTCCTCTTTCTTCGTCCGCGACATCGATCCTGCTTCTCCTTCTTTCCGCGACGTCTTCCTTGCCCTACGCCTCGCGGCTTCTCTTTTTCCTGTCTTGAGCCCCTCGCATACAATGAAACCGAAAATCTCCGCGGCACTCGGGGAATGCGGCGCATGATTACCTACATCGAAACGAAGAACCGACCGACAAGAAGAAGCGCCGTGCTTTCTCTCTGTCTCTCTCATCCTTCTTCATCTTCTCTATGTCTCTCGAAAACACTTTGATATTTCTACCTTGCGAAGCGATCTATGCAGTGCTAATCGAAACATTGTTTCGGAAAGTTTGTTTCCTAAAATTATTACAGAACCATTATAAAATTTGTTTTTATAATAATTCTATTCACAATATCATATTATAAAAAAACTATTTAATATGGTAGATGTATAATTTGAATAAGATTTTTTATTTTACAAATCTTGAATTATTTCATAATGAGCTTCAATATTCTGAAAGAATAGGATTTGATTTCAGACAGATGTATTAAAACCTAGTATGAAAGCCGCATGACCGGACTGGAACAGAGCCAGACGAAATGAATCGACGAAAACATATCGTCATTCACGTCAACGATACAGATGTTGGGTGCGGCGATCAAACACGCGACATTTCCGCCATCTCGTGATCGTGAACCGTTAAGATCATAGGAGATCAAGTGGATTGATCTGTACTAGGATCATTCGAGATCGATTGAAACATCGATTGACATCGCGATTTAGAAAAAAAATTTTGCAATGTGCTTGTAATGTGACTTTATTTTTAATTACATTAAATTTAATTTTTTTATATTAATTACATAAATATTAACATTTACTTTTTACAAAAATTTAGGTACATTATTCATTTATTACACATAATACATTTGTTATATCTTTTAATATGTGTACATAGATTTAATTTTCTTCTACAACAAAAAAATATTATCGCAATTATAAATACTTTTGAATGACAAGATTAACGAATCGATAAATCGATTCACTCAATGCGAGCGTTCGATGTTTGTCGTCCGTGGATACAGTAGCGCAATTATGCACTCAGCAGACTCTTACTTTACAGAAAAAGATGACGGATGCATCAATTTACGCAAAACAATCCATTTGTGCAGGAGACATGGGAGATATAAATTTCAAATTTTATCGTACCACTGGGATTTTTGTCGGAGGTTTCGTTGACTTAATTTCATATCCAATTAGATTGTACCAGATAATATCCGTGCAAAACTCCGTTTATCCGCTTTCAATTGTCAATTTTTATCTAAATAATATGCATGAAGAAGAAGATAGTTCAATATCTCTGACACTAAGATAATTAAATTATTAATTATTTATGCAAAATATTAATATTACATAAATAAATTTCAAATATATGACTGTTATACTATGTTATATTATATTATTATGTATATTATGTTTTAATGAGACAAAAATATTTATATTTCCTGAATTTTATTTCAAAGTAACTTCGCTTTAGAGACAAAAAAATAATTTCATTTTAATATTAATATATATGATAATTAATATATTTATCTAAAAATTTTTTACTTCCTTCTTAATAATTATTTCATATTTGTAATGCATATGAATACGTATTTTTCGGTTATGTTTCCAGTTATATGAGCATAATTTTTTTGCGTAATGCATTATAATTTTTTTAAGAATAAAGCAATTATTCTTTGTCAGTGTTTAATTTATAGATTGCGCTGACGGATCTACATGAAAGGTCTAAAGAATCGCTGGTCATGCTATTCGTGTTGTTTCTCTCTGTATTGTGAATTAAATGCACATTAACCCTAGAATTGCGTAGCGCGCGATTACGATCAGGAGTCGCACTAATTAAAGGCGTGCAAAATGCAGTCGTACGTTAAACAATTCATATGTATATTTAAGCAAATATCGTCTGCATCGCGTTTCGTACCAATCTCTCACGCTGGTTTTCTTTAAAAATCTATGCATGCAAATTATTTGTAAGACCGGCAATACAATTGGGAGCCGGAAAGGTGCCGGAAAGTACTTCCGTCAGATAAGAAACAAATTAATTAATTTGCAAAAATATTATAAACCAATCTTTTAGCTTCAATTTAAACGATTGGTTTAAATCGCTAATCTGCTCTGAATCGAAAGTCGACTTTCGTCTCTTTGCGGGTTATCGATTAACCAGGCAAAGCGATGAAAGAGTTCGATGAAATAATGATGGTACCAGGTCGATAAATAGTACGCCTCTGCATCCTTCTCTCGAGAATGGTAGGAGGGAGGGAGGGGTACCATGGGACCCTTCGGGGCCCGCGCTAATGCCAGCCGAGAGAAGACAGCTATCAAAAGCCCGTATTTAAATATTATCAATGAAATTACAGTGCTCACTGCTTGCGCAGCCTGCTCGGTCATTACTGACTGGCAATTCGGGCTCTTTAATCGCCGTTGTCAATACTAATCGACATCGTCGTTATTTAATATGCTCCGTCCCATTTTTCTTTTACGGATCTGCCAAACCACCCGTTGTTTTCGCTCTTTCCTACGTCAATTGGGAACACTCTGAATGAAACAGATTGAAAAATGCATTTAATTTCTCTTTTATATCCAATATTGTTATAAATAAATAAAATTATTGATATTTAATAAATGTACATAATTATATGATCAGAGATAAACAAATTTATTCCTTATATTACGTTATTCTGCTAATTGCAATATTGCAATATCTACTTCTAATTAATAAATTTACTTAAATTAGTATTTTCTCTATTGTATCAACTGATGGCTAGAAGAATGCTGACCATATTATATAACAGAAATACATAACAAAGCTACCGAATAGCGATAGCTACTATTGTTACGTATTTTCTGAATTTCCAAATCCATCGTTCGCTGGATGCACGCATAATAATTATGAGCTCGCAATTAGTAACCGGTACAGAAAATAATATCGGTGTTACTATCTGTATTAAGTGCCACTACCGGCAAACGGAGCAACGATAGAGAGGAGTGGGAATAATTAAACCACTATGATTGCTATCTAAATAATTAAAACTTAGCGTGACTCTCTGCGTGCGGCTGTATGTAATGCTCATACGCGAACAGATCGTAGATTTTGCAGGCATAATTAGGCAAGAGATATGAAATCCACGTATTTAAATTGCATTGTTGCAAGGAAGTCTTATGTCCAAATCGAAAACCTATCAATTACATTTACCTTAAAAACAACTATTTTCTTTTTAATTTTAATTTAATTTAGAATTAAGAGAATAAGCTAAGGAGAATATATATATAAGGAAAAAAATGAGCATTTTACTCAATGATCATAATTTTACATTAAATTGCTGTAAGATAAATTTAAAATATTCATAGATGGAAATTTTTGGAGATTTTAATTCTAAGAACTTATTCTTAACAATTAACAATTAACAATTACATAAATATTCTAATATACATACAATTATTTATTTATATATAAAAAAATTGTTATAAGATGGACAATCTAAAATAATTAATCAATATTATATAAATCGAAAATAAAAATTTAAGTCGAAAGAATACTTATACTTATACTTTTACAAATTTCATAATGCGATATGAAGCGTAAGTATTGCTCACGCAATTAATATGTAATTACAATCAATCCTAAAAATTCTTTTAGAAATTAGAAAGATTTTTGATTTTGATTTTATTGCACTTGATAATTTGCACTTTGTATTTATATTCTTATATTTGCTATACAAATTATAATTTAACAAAATTTATTGAATTATTTAGACTGATATGCTTGATATTTTTTTAATACCGCAGTAATATGCATATGTCAATGAATTAAAAATAAGTTTAAAATATATTTTAAACATTATGCATTACATCGTTATTATATTATTTTTCGTGTTATTCCTTCAAAAAGTTTATCATTGAAAATATAATTTAAATGACAAAGAGATTTTCTTTTTTGCTTGTTTCCTGTTGCGTCGAAATAGAGAAACGGGGTCAGAAGGCAGATACGTGTCGGCACTGTCAAAGAGTTTAGCTGTGAGGCACGCGAATCGCAGAGATGCGATCTGATAAGAAGCGAAACATTTCAGTGTACTGCGTTACAAGCCCCTGTTGTGTCCACGCACCTTAAAGCATCATTCTCACATGCGGCGACATAAGCAGAACTCACGTGCTCGAGATACTCTCGAGGCGGTCGCCAAAGAGATGTATTAATATTTCAGATAATAACATGACTCTTATATTCAGGAAATTAATAGCTTCTTTTTTATTTTAAAAATTAAAATTATTTTAAAATTATTTGTTTAAAAAATTGTGAAACAATCTAAATAAAATTACTACTTAACCTATGTCTTTAACTATCACCAAAAACATTTATTTATGAAATCAGTAGAGATGATCTGATTATAATAGCATATGATTTATTTCGCATATACCTGACAACGTAAATTTTTACAAGATCAAGAGAAAAGGCTTAAGTTTTAGATATTGCTGATAAAAAAATTACGTAAGCTATTTGTATTGCAAAATTTGTTTTTTTTATGTAAGTTACGTAAAAGATTTTTGCCAGATTGCGCGCTAAGTACGACTGCACCGTTATAATGTGAAACGTGAGTATATGCCTTCGAAAGTAAATAATTATTTTCAAAGGACTGTGTTACGTCTTCGAAAGTTGCATTAATTTTGCTGCACCGTTCAACGATCCCGGCGGTCACGTTCGAGCAATATCGAATAAAGACTGTGATTATATACGATAGTTGATGACGAACCTAAGCCGACGACCTATCCTGCGCCAGTCGACAGGCAGCTTCGAGCTCGAAACCAATCCGTATCGGTTCAGTTCGGGATTAATCGGTGTTTTGTTCTGCGGCGAAGTGCTTATTAAGGCCATGCTTTATTAAGCTTCACAGGCATGCAAACGCGGATGGGTCGATGAGGATAGATTTGATCACGAATGAAGTGGCCAACCATTGTATCAAGCCGAAGAATGAGGCTTATTACAAACAATTGCGATCGGCAGTAATTAAATTAATCACGCGGACAATATCTAGATTCTAAAATTGTACCGTGAAATCCTCGACTGTAAATACTTCCAACACTTTTATTGCCAATTAATTTTTACACAAATTTGAATTATTTGTATTATTATTTTAATATATCAAGTAAGTTTTTAATATAAAGATTTAAATTTACAAGTTATACAATATGCGTTGATAATCTCTTTGCACTTTATTGTACTATCACCGCTTAATACTGCATCAATCTTAATTTAATTTTTATCAAACAGCTCAACTTAATTTTGATTGAAAAAATGAAATTTAAGTAATTCTCAATTTCAATGGATTGCCCTGTAATATCATACATTTGTGCGCCTTCAATTGATATCTTTCGCCATATTGACGTCCGCAGATATTACACTTATAAGGTTTCTCGCCAGTATGCGTGTAAATATGATTTGCAAGTTTTGTTTTCACACTGAAGCGTAGTTTGCAAAAATCACACTCGAATCGCTTTATGCCAGTATGTCGATATCTGTGCACTTTCAGACCCCAAGATCTTCTGTAGCTCATGCCGCAATCTTCACATTTATAAGGTCTGATACCTACAAATAAAAAAAGGTACAAATAAAAAAAATGATTATACAAAGCTGTTTATGACTATTTCTTGTATTCGCAATATTCAAAAAAAGTTTAGGCATTCCAAATTTTATAACATAACATGAGAATTTT